GCCTGGGCAGCGAGACCTCACCTCTACAATAAATCAAAAAAATCAGCCGGGCGTGGTAGCGCGTGCCTGTAATTCCGGCTACTCGGAAGGCTGAGGCGGAAGGATCGCCGGAGCCCAGCGGGTGGAGGCTGCGGTGGCCGGGAGCGGCCACTGCACTCCAGTCTGGGCGACAGAGTGAGATTCCAACTCAAAAAAAAAAAAATTAGCTGGGCATGGTGGAGTATGCCTGTAGTGCCAGCCATTCAAGGCTGAGGAGGAAGGATCACCGGAGCCTAGGAGGTTGAGGCTAAGTGAGCAGTGATTGTGCTACTGCGCTCCAGCCTGGGCAAGAGTGAGACCTCAACTGGCAGGGACGGGGGCTGGGGGGTGGGGGGGGAGTGGTGGACATTTTTCTCTGTGTTTACATTTAAATGCAAATACATTTTTTGAGAGGCTTTCTCCCCCATCCACAGCATCCTGTAATACACATTTGCTTTCATCTCATAGGCTGGGGAGACCCTTTCGTGTCCCATCAGTACTTTATTAGCTTTGGCCCTGACGGCAGGCACCCTGGGAACCCACTCCAAAGCATGCCATTGGGTCCCTCCCTCAGGTTGAAGTGTGGCTGGGGAGGGGTCAGTTGGTGGCTTGTTCTCGCCCCTGGGTCTCTAGCTCCTTTGCAGAGAGGGCGCTGGGCCACTGTGGTATTAAAATATTTAAGTACCAGAAGCGCCCCGGCACTGGCCAGTCTATTTGGGAGATCCCAGGCTGTCAGATGTTACCCCTTTTCCAGGGACTAGGGGTCGGTCCAGGAGCCCCAGGGGAGGTAGCAGCTGTTTATCAGTCGGTTCAGACATTTTTCTGTTTCACATCCGGACCAGCTGGCTGTATTAGTGAGACCAGCCCCGAATCAGCCCACCTGGCCCTACCTTTCCGCATCTGGTTCTGCCTGTCCCAGGATGACCCCATTAGGTGCTGTGAGGGAACTTAAGCAACTAGAAGAAAACAAAAAAGGAGGAAAAAAAGAGCTCGTGGCTGGTTGGTCGGCTCTGGGAAGTCGGCCCCAAGTGGTGAATCCCCCGGGTCAGGCCGCAGGCAGGGGCGGGGTGTGGGCGCCCGTTCAAAACAGGCCCCGGGGGACCAGGCCCAGCCCTCTGCAGGGCTTGTCGCAGGAGACAGGCCAGACCAGGTGCTTCAGTTGCCCAGGGCGGCCAGGGCTGGGCTCTCCCTCCTGGTCACCCAGTGGCTTCCACCCTAGGCTGGGAACAATGAATCCCTACCCAGGTAAGCCAAGAATGGCCTGTCCCTGCGGTCCACACGGGGCACCCAAGGTTACCTGGTCAACAGGAACTGCTCGACCAGCTCACCTTGTCGGGCCCCACCTTGCTTTCGCGGGGTAAGGCGGCCGGGGTGGGGCCCCCGGCCCCC